ACCTTCCGGCTTTGCACACACAGAAACTCAACCACTGGTGGTGTGTTTTATGCAGATAAGCTATCAGTGTTATATTTTACATATTTTTTTTTTTAATAGGCTGATGCAGTGATTCTTACTTTTCCAGGACTGTATTGAGCCAGATTCTGTCCCTTTCATAGCATAAGTAACTTGCAGAGCTAAAGGGGACTTGTGCATATAAGTTTAATAGGATTTGGCCTTTAAGGTACTCATGTGTTTAATCAATCTATTTTAAACATTTGGGAGAACATAATTGGCCAGAAAACGAAGGAATAATTGGAAGTGAAGGTAGGCAGAGCTTTAGGGATTCAAAGGGAAGTTCATAGTAATACAGCTACAAATGAATGAATTAGTTAGGAAAGTGAAGGTAAGCATTTAATGAACAGAACAAGTACTCGTTATCCCCTTGAAATGTGCGCTTCTGCCTGGATAAGCACTAAGCTATTATAAACTTGCTGTAGTTTCAGAATTAGCAAATGTATTTGACTGGTAAGGTTTGAAAAAACACACATGAAATGTTTATATATAGCTGACTATTTATAGTGTGTTAGCTCACTCTGTGAGAGACTAAAGTGAGGAACCTAGTCTTTTGCAGTCACATCTGTGCACTAAACCAGTGTTGCTTCTGGGCTAGGTTGGCTTTCACCACTGTGTTAAGCACAGGCTCGAATGAGCAAAGCCAAGGAGGGTGTACTCTTTTAAAATGCCATTTAAATGGGCAAGTACATGTTTGAAAAAGTGCACGTGAGTTAATGAAAGCGTTTTTCTTTCTTCATGGTACAGTTGATCAATGCAAATTTAATACACATCAGTTAGATCGATGTGTGCCAACGACAAAATAGGAAATGGCTAAGGTCTGAAGTTTCCCAGTGTTTTAGTTGCTGTTTCTTTGTGTGTGGGTCACTTAAACCAATTTCTAATGTGTTTAAAAAGAACTGTGTACATAAAACCTCAAGAATAATACAGGTCAGAACTGGTTGTTTTAAAGAGCGTACAGTGTTATCTGCATAACTCTTCAGCATCATATCAGATGTGGCCCTGTGTTGTAAGGTGCCTGTTTACATACTTGGATCAAGCCAATGAATCGCTGCCTTCAGTCAATTTGTTAAGAGTTTTGGAAAAATTGTCCTCAGCAGACTGGGAGTAGGAGGGTTCCTTTTCCTTTACAATAACTAAAAAACTCTTTTACAAAGCTTAGAGTCCGTTTTCTTGTGGCATTCAGAGAATCTGGTAGGGTGTACCAGACTGGCTTTGAAGTTGCTTTAAGTGTTCCTCCCGTTATCGACAGCTGTGAATACTTAAGACGAGAACCATAACTATGGTCAGTAAGGTTTGGGAGAGCAGGCTGCTCTGCATCCAAAGGATGTGCCATCTAGCAGAGCCTCTTTGAGCATGGCAATTGGCATGTTTTGTGGAGAAGTGAGCTTATTAGTGTTACATCAATGGTTCCTAAAACGGAACACAGTAATATGTGAGAACAGCTTACTAAGCTGGTCTTTCTTAGTAATAGCAATGAAGTTAAAAAAAAAAATTCCAGACTTTTTGATAAGTGTATTTCTTTTCTACATGGGGAATTAAGAAAAGATACAATGTCCGTATCAAGAGAAGTTCTTTTGTCCGAGAAGTTTGATAGTAGGAGGTCACTAAAATGTCAAAGGTCTTTAGGTCTCGCTCTAATATTCTTCTCCCTGGTCTCACTGAAGGTTGGGTTGCTTGGATGGAGGCGGCAGCACAGAGCGTTACAGAGATGCCTACCAGCCCCAGCACAACCCTTTACCCTTCTAACTTTTTGACTTCATGTGCTAGCGTTGTACTAGACTGCTGGGAGACAAGTAGAGGCTGGAGGGAGGGCGGGCTGGCATGACCCTGCCTCTGTGATGCTAGAGCTGAGCAAAAGGGTGAGCAGCGCACAGCACAGCCTGTAGAGGAATGTGTACAGCTGGCTGCATGACTGGAATAAGAGATGCATAGTAATGTCACGTGGCCCCTTGTGCTCATAGATTAAGATGTTTCTGCCATCTTAGTATATTGCTTAACAGTGCGTAGGACAGGTCTTCAAGATGAATCTAAGACAGTGGAATTAATGCTGACAGGACAGTGGCTCATCACCCTCTCCTCTGAGGCAAGGTGTGGTTCTTTGGCTTTGCTCTAACAATCATTCTGGATGTTTGCCTCTACTTGCAGATGTGGGTGCTTCACCTATAAAGAAAATTCTAGAATGAGACACTCCATTGCACATGCTGCTTCTGCTTATGTATGAAAGACACTTGTCATATTGCTCAGTACTTCACTGGGAGGCTCACACACAGTGTCCCAGAGGAACAGATATGACTAGAGGAAACCATCAACTGATAGTGAGGGTAACAAAGGAGGAAGTTTTCTGTGGGTTGGGTTTTTTCCTTTCCTTTTTTTTGTTTTTTCTTTCCCTCAAACAACTGTAAAAGAATTTCCCAATTCTTGCACTTTGATCTATGGAGGTTTATGAGGTTTTAAAACACCGCTATGATACCTTTTCTTTGTTGCTTACTTGGAAAGGTGTCATGGACAAATTGAGAACGCCTGCTTCTCAACGCATTTGGCAACACCTTTAGAAAAGCGTATTTGTCCTCGTATTCTAAGAATGTGAAATATTGGAGTGTTTTCTGAGTCTTAAAGCTTAGCTAGTTTTCTAACAAGTAGTAGCTTCTTTTCACTTGGGGTTACTATGGAAGCCTAGTGTATGTTCCCTTTATGATTCAGTAGCCCCACTAGATATGTTCTACCCTATAAATTGATGCAGTTTATCATTGGTAGGTAATATTTTGTGTTATAGTTGGTCTTACGCTCTAAGTTTTTAGTGAAGCTTTCAAAATACTACTTACATAGTAATGCAATTGGAGCTGTTGGGAGCAGTAACTTAGAAGAGGCACTAGTTAACGAACTTTTGAATTTCCTATTTAACTTCAAACTGGAAAAAATACTGTAAGGTAATGTTTCTGTTTCTTGTTTGACTGCCACTGCCTTTTGTGACTGGTTAAGGTGACACCAAGTACCCAAATAGTGAAAGTAAAATTAAATCAAATTATGTCTTTTAACTCAATGATAAATGCTGTAGTAAGTTGCCCAAAGAGAAGTTGAACTCTATACATGAAATGTACAGAGTATATTTCTGTGTATTTGCCTCTCTCTGTGTATATGTTAATAAACAAATCTTACAGTCTGGAATCCTCCTCAAAATGTAATATTCTGTATTTGCGGATCAGTCAAAGATTGTAGTTAAAGGCAAATTGTAGGCCACTGAGCCTTATACAGTGAAAGAGGTTCCCTCCAAGAGTATCATGGGAGTTCTGAGTTGTCCATCATCTCTCATGCTCTCTAAAGAGTCAAATAGTGGTTAACTGAGGACCTTTCCCTAGAGTTGGAGGGGTGGGGAGGGGGGAGGAGGGCAAACTTAGACTCTTGCTATGAAGTATTCTTCTTGCTATCCCATGTGATGGGCAAGTTTCTTGCTTGGAGTGCTTGGGATGGAAGAGAGGAGAAACTGAATTGATTTTTCAAACGGAAGACTTGGACAACGTTGGAAAACATAAAAATGAGTTATTTACCGTAGTATGGCAGAGATCCTGTTGCTGGCAGAAGAACAACTCTGGTGACACACTCAATTTTCTTTTGATAGCCTTACTGTTCTCCTCTGTAATCTGCTTTGAGTTTTTTCTTGGCAAGACAGCTTTCTTAGGCAAGAGACCGGTCCTCATACCGCTTTCTTGGGAAAGTAGAGTTGCCACTGGTTATTCTTACATAGGCCCAGCAGTTATCCCCTGTGCTTTAATCAAGCCTATTGCTTTTGAAAGACTTAAGGATTATATGGTGCTATTCAGAAGGGCCAGTTGTTCACCTTACAGGCTTTTTGGTAAGACTCAAGTGTTTCTAGATACTTTGTTTGCTTGAAGGGAGGGAGTTGTCTCATGCAAAAAGCCAGTCTGCAAATACGCTGTGAATTTTATACCGGAGCATCTTCAAAAGCTCTTCAAGAGAGTCTAGAGATACTTTAAATTAATAGGTGCTTCAGTAATGGAGTGGTATGGACGCATTAGCAGTACCATTTTTTGTTTTCCACTCTTCCACCCCCCTCCTTGTTTGAGTGCAAGTTCTTTGTGGTTTAGAGGAGGAACGTTTGGGAATGTAAGTTGAAGCAATATAGGGTGTTGATGTCAGAGCCTAAGAAATGTTTTCTTCCAAAACTGAGCTGGAGAAAGCTCCCATGAGAAATCGAGGAGGGCAGGTGCATTGTAGAGAATTAAGAAAGGAAGTGAGTTCAGATTTCATTCTGAGAGTTTTCCTCCCTGATGTACCTTCGTTGATCAGATGCATGCTAACCACTGGTAGAAGCATAGGTAATTTTGTATTTCAAAACTGTTATTAGTGTCAACTGCTCATATAATTAATTAAAAATGTTCATAACTCCCAGACTTTTGTAAGTTTGGTTAACTTTGTTTTCATTTATTGGCCCTCAGGTATTTAATTTTTAAGAATGACTCTGTAAAGCTGGGCTCAGATCTCATCAGTAAAAAATCAGACAAAGACGACATTGTATATCTAACCTTTTTCCATGTCCTTTGTTAACTATGTCCCTTCCTACTTGAGCAGCAGGCCTAGAATTCCCCTAGTCTTCCTTTTGTTGCCAGCATACCTGTAGAAACTTTCTGTGTTAACTGTAACATCCCGCACTAGTTTCAACTCCACTTGAGCCTGGGCTTTTGTAATTTCATCCTGCCTGCCTAAGCAATGTTTCTGTGCTCCTACCAAGTATTTATTTTCCTACCTCTACCTTCTGTGGACTCATCCAGAGTACTTAGTGGTACATCCTTATCCAGAAATTCTGTGTTAACCCATGTAGGTCTTTTGCCATACCTACTTTCTATGCAGTGTATTGGATTGTTTTTGTGCTTTGAAGAAGCTGCCCTTGAAGATTGACAGGCTCTCATGGGCCCTTGTTCTAGGAGTGGACAGAATTGACATCCTTGAAGATCGACAGGCTCTCATGGGCCCTTTTGGCTTTAAGAGCCATGTTCTAGGAGTGGACAGAATTGACACTGAGACCCAAGTGTCCTCAGATCTTGTAGCTTTTTTTCAGGGTTCTGCAAGGTATGGTTTTCCATTAAAGAGTAAGTATTGTAGTAAATTATAGATGGGAATTAGAGAGACGCGGTCATCAGTGAGCTATGCCTGGAAGTTTCATCAGCAGTGGCCATGAAATGAAATACTGGAGATCCCAATGGTTTATTTCCTGAAAGAATTAGGTTACCATATTTTATGTGTTGGAGTCTCCCAGCTGCTTCCCTTTGGAACCAAAATTAATGATACGCTACCCCACAGGGAGATTTCAGACACATGCTTTGCTGCATTCAGCATCAAGGGAAGATAGTTCTGTGTGGCATCAATTTCTTCACTCACTGGAACTCTGTATCCTAAATGTTGTTCATGAAACAGGACCAGAGCAGGTGGTAGAGCCCTAGAAATATAGTAAATGACCTGGTTCCTTGGCGTACTTCTTGCAGCCAGCATGTCTGCTGTCTTGCCTGGCATCAGTGATTCTTCCCTGCTTTCCACGTGTGTTTCATTGAGGTGCATCCAAAAAAAAAAAAGTCTGTAAGGATGTCAGGGTTTTTGGGGTTTTATTTTCATAGATTTGTGAAGCAAAGTGGGGAGAAGAAAAGCAATCTAATCTTTGTTGTAAGATAACTGGCAGTAAAGCTTACGTTTTGTCTCCAAGTGGATCCGTGTTGGCAATGGGGCATAAACATGGAGAGAACTTGTTCATTAGGAGCTCTGCAAAGAAGTATTTTGAAAGGCAAGGAATAGGTGCCTGTTCCAATGGTCTCAAAAAAAGAAAACAACAGCTGTGATAGTGTTTTGCTGTTTCCCATAGCTGTCGTGATTATGAAGTGATGATATAATTAACTTTCTCAAAAGCTTCACAAAGGGAAAGCTTTTCGATGATGTATCCACATTTGGAATCCCAAGGAGAGCTTTTTGTTCCTTTAGTCACTGTCTATCACTTCTGTCTCTTACAGTTTATTGAAATCCCCTTTCTTCAATCTTTCTGGAAACACTTAGGCCCTAAATTCTGTGCCAGTCATAAAAATTACAGATTTTCATAGATGTTTCATAGATGATTTTTTTTTTTCCCCCTTCTCCCTGTTGAGTCAATTCACTTGGGATTTTGGATAAAATGACTGAAGGATAAATTGGTTGCTTCACAAAGGTAATTAAGACAGTATGTGGTGCAGGGGGTGAACAGTTAGGGGTTCTTTTCTACTAATGATCCGTTAATTAGTGAAGGGAGCTCAGCAAGTGTATGGGCCTCTCAGGAATTACCTTTGACATTTAAAACCGCTTTGGTTAAGAACCTGTCATTCCAGGGGGGGAGGCCCTTTTTTTTTTAATTTTTTTTTCCTGTCAACACAGGCCAGCAGAATTTGCTAAACCAGTGCAAATAGTTACGTATCATTAGTGTTACCTAGCTGTTAGCCGTTATTTTAAAATAATCTAGTACACAGCTGTAATTCCTTGCTGAGGATTTTGGTGACAAATTTGGTTGCAGCAGTCCTGTGTTGAGAACAGTAAGCTTGCTGCGTGGAGCTGGTTAACTGCAGAGCCAGCACGGTCTGATACTTGCTACCCGTTTAAGCACTGCACCATGTGAATGTGTTAATATTATTTTTAGGACCAGTTTGGAATACTTGCTGGAATACTTTTGTGGGAGTTGGCCTGAAGCTGGCAGGGTTAATATTCCTTGAGGGAGGTAAACCAGCAGTGGGGTGTCCCTGTATCACGTTCTTTTGTGCATTTCAGAATATCTGTGGCGTGTGTCCTGTCCTCTGCATTATTTACTCTTCTGCTGTCCGGAGTTATCCAGGATAAATTGTCTGCCGATGTGCAGGCCCTTAGCAGATGTTTAGGGTAGAAAGAAAACAGCTCTTATGCAGTCTGAAATTAGCTGCTCATTCTTCAGGCTACATGCGGATGTGGTCCCAAAGGTGAATTTTCCTCTTCAGATCCAGGCAGCATTGCTTTAATCAATGATCTTCTACAGAGATACCCAATGGATTAATTGTGAAATGTATCTTCCTCCCTCCCCTCCCCCC